TTTCATTATGATGACAGGGATGGAGAGCTCTGTCACACACATCAGTCCAAACTTTCACATAGAATTAGTTTGAGAGCTGGTGACTGTAAAGGTCACAGCGTACTATTCACATTCATTTTCACACTGTTTCTGTGAGTCATCGTGCCCTGTGGGGACTGAATCCCTTCACTGTAGGAGTCAATGGTTCAAGTCTGTTCTTTGACATGCCATCAATAATTGTGATAAGCCCTTTTTGAAGGTGCATGCCTTTCATTCAGTTTTTTTTTTTTTGTCCTTTTTTACCAGAATAATGTGAATAATTTGTGGTGAAAAATTGCATTTCATTCTTTTTAGTTTTGTTTTTATTTGAGGTACAGGGCCTATTTTCCATGCCTCATTTCAAAATGCATGCCGAATGTGACCTGTAAATAAACCCGACCATAATCAGGGAATTATGGGATGTCACAGCTCTTTACAGATAACACTGCAGTAGTGCTAACCCCACTGTGCACACAGCACTGACTTCTCGTCGCATTAGAGGCTGGCTGATAGCGGCCTCATCAGGTGTGTTTGTTTCTCCTTACTAATCAGAAAATTTGATGAGGCCAGCAACCCACCGCTTTTTTTTTTCCCTCACCTTGCGCAGCAATGGGAATTTCACATTATCAGTGAGGTTTCAGCTTGTCTACCAGGAGACTTTTGCAAGGTCATCACCAGAGCTGCTGTCAACATCCCAGATAATTATATATGGCTTTTAATGCTTACTATCTGTTACTTTGTAATTAAAACAAGGGGGCATGTAGCTCAGACTGGAATTGCTTTTATGCTTCAGTAATTCTATATCAGGATGAGCTGTTTGTGTTATTCAGCAGACTTTGCATATACTGAGTTGTGGTCATGGCACAGCATTACATAGTACGACACCCAAATTAAAAGAGCATAGCAGGAGCATAATTGTCATTTTAAAGTGTCTGTATCATTTTGTTTCCTGTCTAATGTGTCAGCACGATAAAGGTTTAATCCCACGGATCTGTGAAGGCTTGTTCTGGGAGATATCTCACAGGAGCAAGAGCGATGCCGTGATGTTCCACACAGAGGTCAGGTAAAGAACCATCACACTTAACTTTCAAACATGTGCTCAGAAATCATATTTCAGTAGAGAGAAACTTATTTTTTGTCAGTGATGGACCTTCAAGTTTTTTTTCCCTTATTATTTTTATAGCCTCTGACAGTGGACTTGTTTCAGGTTGTCCTGACAGACTTCAGTGTGGCATTGGATACCGCTGACCACAAAATGTTATTAGAGATTAAAACACAGCATTGATAATAAAGAAAATGTGCTCCAATGGTTTAAATCTGTCAGATTGTAATTTGTGCATGTAAATTGGGAGTCTTTAACACATGTAGCTTGGTCATTGTTCCACAGGGTTCTGTGCTGGGACCATTTATATTTACATTATACGTGCGTCATTAAATTGCTTCAGCAGTATCATTAGAAGGCATAGCATATGTTTTCATTGCCATGCAGATGGTACCCAGCTTTCTTTACCCATGAGACCAGATAACAAAAATCAGTTATTAGGGTTAGCTTAATGACATCAAGACCTGGGTTACATTTGAATTTCTTCTAAATTCAGACAAACCCAGTGTTGCAATATTTGGCCATAAAAAGGAATCTTGAGGAATCTTGTAGTCCTTCAATGCAAAAATTAAATATGTTGGACTGCTTTCTGACATTTGTGTAATATCTCTAAGATTAGAAAGATCCTGCCTCAGAGTGATGCTTAAAAAAAACTAGTTCATGCATTTATTACTTCTAGGCTGTACTGCTGTAATTCATTATTAAGTTGTTCCAAAAATTTCCACCAAAAACTTCAGTTAATTCAAAATGCTGCAGTAAGACTACTGGCAGGGACTAGAAAGCACATTTCCTCTATATTAAGTTCTCTTCAGAAGTGAATTTAATATCCTTCCCCTGACATATAAAGTCTGAAATAATGAGGCCCCATCGTATCTTAAAGACCTCATACCATCATATTATCCCAATAGAGCATTCTGCTCTCAGACTGGCTCACTTGCTGTTGTTAAGTTTCTTAAACTGGAATGGGAGGAGGAAGCACCTTAGCTTTCAGGCTCCTCTCCTGCGGAGCCAGATCCCAGTTTGGTTCCGGAGACAGTCACCCTCTCTACTTTTAAGATTAGGTTTAAAACTTTCATTGTTAAAAAGGACTTTTTCCTTCCCACTGTCACAAATTGCTGCTCATAAAGAGTTGTCTGATTGCCGTGGTTTTATTCAGAATACTGTAGGATCTTTACGGTTTAAAGCACCTTGAGATGGCTCTTGTCAATTGGTGCTATATAATTCAGCTTGAGTTGAATTGAAATGAAACTTTATATAAGCATTAATCTCAGAGAGAATTGTCATCCAGTTTGAAGGGAAACATATTTAAAGAGGTGGTTCTGCTTTGCTGGGCAGGTTAATTATCATGCAGAATGTGGAGAACGAAGGATATGAAGCAAAAACGTGTGCAATGCTGTTGTTTCACAAGAGACATGGAGGCCAGTGAATTAAAAAGACTTTGGGCATTAAACAGTTTTATAAAACTACTGGTGTTGCTGGAGAGCATCTGGATACAGACTTTTTCCTGTTGTTTATATGAAACTATGTACTTTGTGCAAAGGTCTACTGTTTTTAGCCGATGGTAACTCAACTCAGAAGTCAGAGTGATGTGCCGTGATGATTCTTATTGAGTTGTTCTTGATTGTAGAATATAAATGAGCCAGCAGTAATAAAGGGTAAAAAACCCATTCCCGTTCATCATTATTCTCACTTTGCTGGAACAGTCACATCATTTAGAAAAATTGAAAGGCCTAAATGTAATGAAACCAGAAAAAGGCACAACGTTTTATTGCTATAACCCTGTAATGTTCAAAATCCCAGATGAAATCTAGTCTCATCACAGTGTGTTTTATGTCCCAGCTGTTCCCCTAAATTATTATGTTAGATTAGATTGCTGCTTTTAAGTCAAACTACTTTGAAATCATTGTTTTGCCATCTGTTTGCATGTGCGCTGCTGGCACATTTGCGTTTAAATTAACTCTGTAATTGGATTTTATTTGATCGCGTTTGCATGTCCGTGTTTTTTTTATTTTTTTTATTTTTTTAGAATATCTTAAAAAGACTCAGGTATAACATTTGACAATTAACACATCTGTACTTGTTCTTTTTTTTTTTTTTTTTATAAGCGAAAGAAGCTGCAGAGCTTGACTTTGTTTTTTTCCCCCCCTCAGAATACATAAAAATAAAACAACATCAACAACAAAATGCTAAGTTTGCTGTCTGAGTTCTCAGCCCTGTGCCGGGAAAAAACATACACGGCTACATGAGCAGGGCATGGTTCCTCCCATTTTATTGCTGCCATGCATGCTTCTCTAAAGCCTAATTGCTTTATGCCCCACATTGTTTGTTTTTGAATCAGACACTAGTCCCATTGCGTCTTGCACAGATGCACCATAACTTTGATTAACCTCCTAGGACCTGGCGTCCACATATGTGGACATCACATTTTTGGTTATTTAGACCAAAATACTCAGTTTTGCTCTACAGGAGCCTGATATCCACTTACGAGGACATTATACTGCTACTGTTCTATCAAAATTTCAAATGAATATCCTCATATGTGGCTCTCATTTTTCTCAGAAACAAAAATTAGGTAAAAAAAATAAATCTGGTAATTCTTTGTTTTGATATTTATCAGGTCCCAATCAGCCCAAATATCAAAGAAATTAAAAATGCATGCTGTGGAAGAGTTCAGGTCTTAGGAGGTTAAAGCACTCTGTCAAACCTGCTTTCCATATTTTTCATTATTTCTTTTGCCAGTACATGCAGAACGCCATAAGAACAACCATTTGGCCTCACTGTGCATCTCTTTTCTTAGAGTTAATAGTAACTTTATTGGTATTTGGCATGCAGATTAACAATGAAAACAGATATTCCATTGCACCTTTGTCACCTTTTTTTTAAAATAAATCATGGTTCCACATTGTATTTTTATCTTTGTACCAGCTATCTTGAGATCTGCAATGAGCGGATGCAGGATCTTCTCAAAAAGAGAGCATCACCTACAGATGATGGGGGCTTGAGCGTGAGGGAGCATCCTAGGCATGGTCCCTATGTAGAGAGTAAGACTGTTTTTATCCTGTATTCTATGTCCATCCTAGTTGTGTTTGCATAAAATCTGATGCAAAAAATATATATAACTCATAGATCTGTCCAAGCATTTAGTACAAAGCTACAGTGAAGTGGAGGGCCTGATCATTCTCGGCAATGCCAAGCGCACCACAGCCAGCAGGGGAGTGAATGACTTCAGCAAGCGCTCCCATGCCATCTTCACCATAATGTTCACTCAGGTGAAACACAGTGCTTGATGTTTGAATTTGGCCAAAGTAAAATGTTTGCTAGAGATCTGTGGGTGTTAACAAAAGCCGTCCCCCAAAACCGCTGAGACTTTTATGAGATAATGAGACCTGATCTGTTGTGGTGTTATTTTTCACAGGCTTTCATTTTCTCTGTTTGTGATATCACTTATACACGGAAGTATATTCTTCTGTGATATTGCCTTTTTTGTTTCCTGGGACAGGTGTGGTGTGATGCAGAACCGTTATACGAGACAGTGAGTAAGATCCACCTGGTAGACCTGGCAGGCAGCGAGAAAGTTGATCCCACACGCACAGTAGGAGGCAGGTTGAAGGAAAGTGCCGACATAAACAAATCTCTGGTCACATTGGGACATGTGATCTCAGCTCTAGGTAAAGGCAGTCAGTCATTTTGCTGTGGAATTACTGTTTGGGACCTATTTACAACCCTAGTTTTTTTCTTAGCTGTCAAATCAAACTCTTTACATAGAAATCTATATGAAAGATGGATGTAGCTGTGCAGCAGAAGGGCTCTTAGACCTATACTTTTTACAATGGCCAGCAGAGGGCGACTCTGCTTATTTTTTTTAAATGAGGTTTGTTGTTGAGATGTTTGTGGGATGCTTCCTTGATCGGTGACCTCAGTAAAGACTTTAGATGGGTTTATGTCTCAGTCTTTACTTTCTAATACTAATATTTGTTTTGCAAATGACAGTCAATTACAGGATAAAAAAAGGATATTAAGCAAGATATGCTTAGACATAACTTCACTGACCAGTGAGGGATATCACATTGGCTGAATTTATCTTTTAAGTAGTCAAGTAATTTAAAACAAAAACAAAACAAAAAAATAAATGACCCTTGAAATTATGGTTGAAATGCATATTCCATTGATAATTAGATGCCTTTTTCTGAAGAATACATATTCAGTAGTGAGCATTTAGTTCTCAGAATTTATATACAACTTGTGGATGAAACATTTTACCTTTCTAGTATTTGACTGAGTACTTTTGTTTTTGATACTCTCAGCTGACCTTGGTGTAGGAGTGTCAACAACAAAACAGATCTTCATTCCTTACAGAGACTCTGTGCTGACATGGCTGCTAAAAGACAGCCTGGGTGGAAACTCTAAGACTACTATGATAGCAAGTATGTATTACTTAATTCTTACCTGTTTTTGATATTGGAAGCATTATTAACCACATAATTCTTTTATTTTCCATCTTCTGTTTTCACACTCCTCATGAACATGTGTCCCTTCTTGATGACCCCCCCTTGGCAGCCATTTCTCCTGCTGATGTGAACTACATGGAGACCCTGAACACTTTGCGTTTTGCCAGTCAAGCTAAAAACATAGTGAACTCTCCCACAGTGAACGATAATGGCAGTATGAAGGTGATGAGGGAACTGCAGTCAGAGGTTACCAAACTCAATCAACTACTAAAAGAAGCCACTCAGGTCCTGCATATGCTCACATTCACAGGAGGCATAAACATCTTATAGTGTTTCTTGTTCAAAGCTTATTTTGTAGGTTGTATTGTTTTCTTGCTGTTACTTTAGGTTGGGCATGAGGTGCCATTATCCTCTGTGGATGTAAAGGAGGAGCTGAATGAGACAAAGGTGAGTCATCCTCTGCAGAATAGAAATGAAAGGCATTTTGAAGTTCCCTTTTGTAAATAATAAACCTGTTATTTCTGCAGTCCCTCCAGGTAGTAGCATTGACCAAGAACAGAAGCAGCACGTGGAGGGAGACACTGAATATTCTGCAGGTACAAAAATGATTCATTCATGCATTTAAATATGAACGTCTGCTTGAGAATCCTCGGGGCCAATTTACCATTGGTTTGTTTGACTCACAAATGCCAGCGGGTTATATTTGACTCTTGGATATGAGCTAGAGGATAATAAGACCGGAGAGAAGTACTTGTTGCCCTGCATTGTTCCATTGAATAGGTTTGTTGTAGTTCTTCCATTTAATCAGATGTACAGACAGCCCAAACCCCTGTACCTGCTTTTCTTTTGCACAGAGTTGGGATAAACACTTTACTCTTAAACTGCTTCACATTTTATTCTAATGTTAAGCACCCTTGCTGCTTGCCTAATTTTCTATGTCCCTCTTTGGAATTATTTGTGTTATAATAAATTATGTTAAGAAAGATATAAAAATGATGAAAGTTTGGAGCAGAAAGATATGTGATTAGAACAGGAGGGCACAGAGTATAGAAAAGGTTTTTAACACTATTAATCAGCAAAGCAGCAAGCTCCCCAAAGCAGTCTTAGTAGGTTTTACTGCTTGCAGTGAGGAGATCCTGCCAGCTGGTGTCACTGCAAGTCTTGTGAATAACTGCTTCACAGGGAGTAGACTCAGTCTAGCATTTAAATAAAATTTTTACATCTATTTGGATGCAAGTGGCATCCAAAAGCGGAGCTCGTATAATGGTTGTAAAGTTGGGTTGCAACAGTGTTTGGGGAGCCTTAAAAAGAGAAACAGAACAGATATGTCTTCTCCCTCAACAAATATGACTTTTCTGAGGCAAAAATGGGGTGGCAGCAGCTTCGAAAGACTCCAAGGTGAAACAAAAAATGGCAGCAATGCCAGCCGAAAATGAAACTTAACTCTGTTCCTCTGCTGAGTTTATGCCCGACCTCCCAAAAAACACCAAATGTCGTTTGTTTGGGTCTCCTTGTGTTCAGCCAAGAAGCGTCTTGCATTATGCATTCAACCGTGAAGCGTGCCAGTCATGAAAAGAATGGCGTGACCTCTTGTCTCTGTCATTATACATGCTATTAATGCGTTCCTTTTAGTGGTTTTTCATGGCGTTAAGCTATTTTGTTGTTTCGGATTTTGAATGATGTCTGAATATGTGTGTGTCAGCCATTAGTAATGCAGCAGCAAAGCAAGAGGTTTACTTTGCTTTTATGAGGACATTGTGTAAGGATTTAAATACCATACACATGAATGTCAGCTATATGTGTACGGTGAATAATTAACATTCTATTCAGATGGTGGTTAGTAGGTGACATTTAGTGGTTTGACAGCCCTTTTATTCCCGGGCATGTATCGGAACTCATTAGCTTCTGTCACGGATCCTAATTAAGAGGGCTTGATTATTGACATATGGTACTTTCATTTCTGTCTGTCCAGCATGTTAATTAGAGTTACTATGGTATAAATCTGTTTGCATATTCGAGCAGTGATAACTTTATGCTCAAAGGCAACATCACCCATCTTTTTTTTTCTTTTTTTTTTAAAAACAGCTGTGCTCATTCATGTAGACACATTGTTTAAAATGCATGATACAATGTGACACCTAGGTGAAAAGGCCAGTGCACTGGTGACCGGTAGGCACATTTGTGTTGGTGAAACTCTAAGTGTTTGATGATTGACTTTATGGATTTGACATTTGTCTTCTTGTGCATTTGCATTCTGCCTGGGTGCAAAATGATAAGTGGGATTCCTGCATGGAATGCTGCAGATATTAGAGGTGGAGTCTGTACTAGGATCAGTACAGAGATGCACCTCAAGTGCAAATGGAAGATGGTCATTTTAAAATTCAGCAAAAGCACCTAAGGGGGAAAAGCTTTAGCTATAAGGTTGAATGCAGATGCAGTATGGCATCAACACGTTTCATATGAGGAAAAAGGGTTGGAAATGGGTTTTATGTACATTACCTGTTCTCTACATCTAGCATATGGTTTTTAATTTAAGAACCATCTTCTCCACATCTCCAAGTTTCATATATTTTGTGTTTAATTCAGTTCCTCCTGTTGCTGAAAGCTTGATGAGAATTTCTGCTCAGGCCTTAAGGAGACAAGTTGACCAAGAGCGGTGTAAACAGAATTTTGAATTCTGTATTCAAAGCAGATTTAGAATGCAAAGTTATTCATCGTCAGCTTCCCAGATTGGTTACAGGGCATGTGGGAAAGAGAAAGTAATTAATATGAGATGGATTCCGGAGCAGCCTCTTACCAGACGGAGGCGGCAAGAGATTGAGAGAACAAAAAAGGCAGGAAGAGGGTAAAGTTAAATGTTTTACTGCAAGGAGGGCGGTGGGGGTGGGGGGGGGAAACCTTAAACAAAATTATAATATACACACACACGCACAGATATTTGTAAGTAGTTCCTACTTCATGAGCAGAATTGCACCCTGCTCCCCCAGCCAACCTTTTGGGTCCCCTTGTAACACAGTGTTGTGGGAGGGACTTCTATTTCAGTAAGATAAAATGAACCACGGCTTTTCTTTGATCGTCGTAGTCTCTGCATTTCCCAGACATGCTACAATCAGCACAACAGCACAACTTAAACCCCGCTCTGAGCCTCGCTCTGTTTAATGTGAATTTTATTTGTAGTGTCAGCAGTTAACACAATGTAATTATTATAGCATTTCACAAGCTGTATAAGCCTTTCTTCACATGTGGGCAAAGCTTGGCACAAAACTGAACTGATTTTCCTTTTTTTTTTTTTTTTTTTTCCTTAATGTACTGAGCATAGTTAAAACAAACAAAGGTGTTCTTAACTGACTCCTGACAAATCAGCTGATGACAGTGCTAGCTCATTGCATTAATGTACACCTGCAAACCACCAGTGTTAATTTTGTCAGCAAACTTTGATTCAGTTTCGATCATAGCCTTTTGTTAAAACGCCTTTTTAGTCGTACTTGAGGCATCTGAATTCTTTTAGTTTATCAGAGATCATTGATTATGAAGTTGATTCAGTTGATTTAAAATATAAAGTGTTTAAGTTTGTTCTGCTTTGACCTGTGAGTGTTGTTCCACAGGGTTTACAGGAAGACTTATTTTCCTTGACATCAAACGCAAAGTGTCCATATGACTTCTCTTCCTCACCAGTGTTAATATTTTGTTGTTTTTGTGAGAAACTTTGAGCATGGGAGTTAGTTGTACAGTTTACAAATAGCGCTGGGGGAACTAACCCGGCCTGCCTTTCTAACACAACTTAATTAGTTCTGATTGGATCTCATTTCTCCAGAATATTTTAATTTCATTTTTGCTGTCAATGACTTCATGATAGTTTTTGTCTCTTAAGGATTAGTTTTTATTTAGTTATCTTTATTTTGAAGTTATCGGAGAACACGCAAGCCACTTTGCAACCTACCTCAACTCCAGGTACTGCAGGATTGTCTCTGACACTTGCTTGCTCCGTTCTGTGCCAGGTCTTGCTGCTGCTCTCCCCACCTTTTGCTTTCCATTTATGCACGTGGAAGGAGGAGAGGGCCATACTGCCAAATATAAATTATGCAGATGGAAATAACAATCTGTTTTTATTACAGCGGTCCTGACTTCACCTCTACACTCTTCTTGCTCTGTCCCTAAAATCAGTTAAACTTGACATATTGGCAAGATAACAGTTAATGTCGCTGCAGTCTCCTTGAATCGGTGAAAGTTCAGCATGTTATGTAAAGCATTGCATGTGACAGCTATTGACTGCATGCATGAATGCATGACCACATGCTGATGGCTAGAAGGCATATCAGGCTAATAAAACAACAGTTGATAACCAGTTGGTTGAAATTCAGCTCTCACATGTAGTATGCTCCCAGATAACAAAGCATATTAAAAATAAATCACTTTTAATGAGGTGCCAGGTCTCTTTGATTCTTATTCAATTCTTAACTAGCATTCATTGCAAACAAAAGGCTTTATGCCATTTGAAAACGTGCCTTTCTTTTACATGTCATTTTAACTTTTAAAAACACTGCAATCTGGGATTCAACCTTTTTAATGTGACAAAGAAATCTAAATGCCATTTATTTTTTTCATAAACTGTTTTGGCAAGTTGCTCCACTTGACAAAGAAGTCGGAAAAGTCGATTGGTTGACTGTGTTTTGAAATGCATATTGTCTAAGTCGGGAACCTGACCTGTCAAAGTGCTGTAAAGTCCATTAAAATTCTACCCAACCACAAATGATGGCTTTTAATGGAATCCTAAATGCTGCCCAAGACTGGCTGCTGGTCCAGGCCACGGTTAATTACAGTATGTTCACCAGCTGTCTGAACAGAGTGTGTCCTTGCGTTACACACAGAGTGACTGGGTGTGGTGAGGAGCAAGTGTGTGAATGTGAGGGGAAAATAAGAGTATCTCATCTGTTCCTGGTGTCTGAGGAAAGTGGACACAGTGCATTAATCTGCCAGGCTGCTCCTCACCTCCTAATGAAGTCTGTGAAAAATCCCTTTTAATTAAGTACAGGGGCTGTGGTCGATGCCTCTCCTTCTTCATTAGAAAAAAAGGATTTCTTCCATCTCTCAACTGCCGATGAGAGAGGTGGTGCTGGTGGTGGACGCGTCTCTCGCTTCACGGTCCAATCTATTCGATAGAGCAGCAGGATGAGGTTGAAAGTTACTTTTCCTAATCCGTGGCAATGTGAGGCAATGGTCCACCAGTTTAACAGGAGGATACTTGTCATAGGGCACTCATACATGGGTAGACTCTGGGTTATTCAAGAGCAACAGCCATTACACTGCAAGGAAAAGGTTAAACGCTTAGAGAGCTGAGTTTCTCTCTTTATTGCTCAGTTCTGTGTCATTTAAACCTACAGTTCATCCGAAGCAAAGTGTTAAATTTCTTGTTTTATAATTTGCAAATGAACCGCTCTGTGTATTTACGCAGTCAGCAGCTTGTCAGGTCTTTTCTTTAACTGAACCATACCTTTTTAGTCAAGTAAAGAATGGAATTATACAAAGTAAAATGAATATCACTGCCTGACAGACACGTATGCAGTATAGCTGTCTGACTAATGCTGCAACATTTCCTCTGCAACAATTGCTGGAGGCAGTGAAGCGGAATATGAAGCAGATCAGACTTTTAAGTGTAGCTTTCCTGAGCTTTAGAAATGGCTTTCGAGGATTAAATCGATATTTCTACCTATTGGATTTCCATAGAGGACACTATCAAATTATTATTTAGCAGAGGTATCCTTAACAGATTTTACAGTAAAGTAAATTCTTATTTTTTGACTTCTGATTTAACTTCTGATTTATCTACAACTACAGAGCAGTAATGATCCATAAGTTAAGTGTGGTGATTTTAATGCTGTTCACTAATTGATTTGTTATTTTATTTATTTTTTATTTATTTATTTTACATTTGTGCCGACTCATGCAATGTTTTATGGTGGGAAAAAAAAAATCTAAAATAAGCACAGGCATTCACTTTAGTGTGACCTTCCATACAACACTGCTTTGGGCAACACTGTAAATTGAAATGAAAGCAGTGGAGGTTTGCCATCTTCAAGTAACGGCAACATACTTTACAAGCTCTATAGTATTTTGATTGCCATGTACCACTAAAGGCAACAGCGTGTGTGTGCGTGTGTGTGTGTGTGTGTGTGTGTTGTGGGTGAGCAGTATTGCGTCTGTCGCACTCGCTGATCACGATGTACAGTTTGACTCTCGCCATGATAATCTAAATGATTTATAGTGTCTCTCTTGCCGGTAGCCAATCTGCTGTTTCATGGTGACACATGGTTGGAATGCTGCAATTCTGCTTGGCCTTCAGGCAAGGAAGAGCAGTCATAAAGAATTCAGCTTTCTGCTGGTTGCCATTAAATGTCTGTCAGCATTTTTATTTTATATTGTATGCCACTCCAGCTACAGGCTATTAAATAAGCTTTTTGTCTTGTGGTATGTTCTCTGTAGGAGGAGACGGTGACTCTGAGGAAGGAGGGGAGTGGAGTGGTGTTGGATTGCTGTTTGCCTCACCTTATCGGTGTTGGTGAAGATCTGCAAAGCACTGGAATCGCCCTCTATTACTTGAAAGTGAATAGTTTATTTGAGCTTCATATTTATGCACTACTCTTGATTTAATTGGAAAGTGTCTCAATTATTTTGTCACACAATAACTTTTTGTGTATTTTTATGATCTTCTAATCTATAGGAAGGCAGAACCATAATTGGCAAAGCATCATGCACCCAAGATATTGGTGAGTTGGGGTTTTAACGACATGCTTCTTACTTCAGATTGGCAGCTGCTTTCTTATACTGACTTTCACAATTGTACTGTAGTGCTCCATGGGCCTGGGCTCCTCAGTGTGCATTGTGTGCTTGAGAACATTGCTGGGACTGTAACCCTGTTCCCTCAGGATGGTGCACTGTGCTTAGTCAATGGCTCTGTGGTCACCGATCCTTGCCAGCTGACTCAGGGTAAGCAGTTCTGTAATATTTAATTTACTCTTGACATTCTTTAATGAACACTGGTGCTGGAAATCTATAAGAAAAAAGATTTCTCTCTCTCTCTCATTCATACATAATCCTTTGGCTTGTGGGAGCCAATACGACTTTCATCCATTTTGAATGCAGTTATATATGATCGCTGCATCACATCTTCAAATGAAATCCACTTTATCTCCCCGGTTCTCCTACTGCCGTGCACTCGGGGCATGAGCGGATTCTGAACACAGCTCTCCATAGGGCAGATGCCATTTCTTTTACTAAACATTTTGAAGGGCGAGAGGCCCCGGACAAAGCTCCAGACAAAGCCCCAGGCCCTCCATTTAATTGGCAGATGGAGTTGATAGGGCCGACAGGTTTGAAGTGGGCCAGAACATTAACCTTTCAAAGGACAGAGGCAAGCCGGGCTGGAACTCTGGCCCCCCTGAGCCGGCACTTCTTGCCAGGGCTGGGAGCTTTCACTGTTTCCTGCTTCCACATCCCCGTTGCTTGGCTTTTGAGAGATAAAAACTTTAAACAGAGCCAGGCAGCACAGGGCCTGGCTATGCTAGTCTCTTTCATAAGCATTTCAATTTATCCAATATCCCCTTCAGAAATGGCTGCATCTGAACCTATTTTCTTGAACAAATGATAGTAATTTTCAGCCCAACAGCAGCTGGATTCCATCACAGGCCGCTCTCTCAGGTACTTTGTCACTCGTCAGAAGTCATTAGTAGAAGCAAGATTAGTAGTCGCTCTGCTGAGAGAGAAGGAAAAGCGGGAGAGACCTCGTGAAAATCTGTGGATATGGCCACATGAACGTGAGTCTGATATATATAAACCCCAATATCACTTCAATTCTATAGCTTTACAAGACTTCTCAAGTTTCCTTGGACCATTTTCTCTGGTAAATTATCGCCCTGGTCTTGTCCACTGCCAATCATGTTGGGGATTGTGTTCCTGATGGCAATTCATTAACTCACCAGACGAAACTGTGTGGGGGATTTTTGTGCTTTCTGTCGAGTTTCTCCGGTGTTCAGTGTAGATATGGGTCACTGCTATCCCACAACAAAGGGAAGATTCTCATGGCAACAGAAAAATTATGCAGACTGTGCCACACCTCCAAAGGTTTCCTGGCAGATTTGTCACCGGCATCTGTCATTGACTGTACCAGTTTTCCCTATGAATCACATCATATTATTTTTCTTTCTTTCTTTATTTTGGACACCAAATAGTAATGAAGTTCATAATGACTAGTTAATTGGTATTTTCCCAATTTCCTTTCAAGGAATAACCCCTTGGGCCCCCTTTTAGGTGCCATCATACAGTTGGGAAAAGGAGCCACACTCTGGTTTAACCAACCGACTGCTTCCCAACTTAGACTGAAATACCAGGTATGGTAAAATACTAAAAACCACCGCATGCAGAAAAGATCCCGAGTCTTCTACTACTAGACTTTTTTCTAAAGTGTAGTGTCTCGGGGGGGGGGAAGGAGTGCCTCAGCTGCATTTTCTGCTGGTAATGTTGTAAAAGCAAGTAAACATCATGCTCTTTGTTGCCATAACTACCTGCTGTAATGCCTGCTACCTCTGACAAATATTACTCATATTGATATCATGTTCAAAATCTACATGAGAAAGTTCCACCACACCACGAGTGGGATCCATATGGCTTTGTTTTGATCAGAATATTAACTATGAGCTTTTCAGTTGGTGTAGGTTTTTGCTTGTTTATATAAAACTCTTTTTTTGTTGGTTTTGAATAATTGGCTCATATCATGGACAATATGTTCCCAACTTTAGAACTTTCTCACGCTAGAAAAGCCTCCTGCTGTTCCTGAAAGGAGGCCAGGTGCAGTGCCTTTCAAAGCTGGCTGCTATTCGTCCTTTTTGCAACAGCTTCCTCTTGGCTTTTAGTATTTTTAAAGAAGCATTGTGTGAAAGCACAAACTCCCTCACACTCTTGGATACTGCAGGCACTGTTTTCTCTGCAGTAATATATCAATGTAAAGCATTCCTGATAAAATCTATTGAAGGCATATTTTTAGTTGGTGATAAAATAAATGTAAGAAGACTTGGATACATTTCATCCAGTATTAAAGTAGAAAAAGTTGACGCTATTAATCAATTAAAAAGTTAACGAGAAGGATGTACTCGACAACTGCAAGTCTGCCACAGCATTTGTTACTGTTCAAATTTATTACGGTTAATTCAACTGTAACTAAAAACTGAAACTGGGTGTGAAAAACATCTCAGTTAATGAAATAAAACCTAAACATTTTAACAATATGGCTTTAAGTCTCATTTATCCAAATGTTGTAAATGCAACATGCAGAATATGCAAGTGCTCAGTTCTTATCCTCACTGTTCTGAACATTTTTAAACTGCATATAGCTACAGTCAGCAAATACTGATGCTAAATTAGTTTAAACTGAATGAAAAATAAATACCAGTAAATTAAAAACAACTCTAACATCAACACTGTGGCAAGAAATAAATTGTCTTTTAAAATGACAGAGCAATCTCTCATTTACTTTTTATTTTCCATATATATTTAGAGCTATGCTGTGAAATGAACAGTGTACAATTAGCATTGAGTCCTTTTGACATTTTTGTCTTTTACATGGTAGCAGGCATTGGGATTTATTTTACGCTGATCAACAGAAAAAACATCTGAAAATGAATCACTATGCTTGAGTTATTTCACTCATGTGGCCATTTGTAGCTAGAAGTTGAACGTGGAGTGAGTCCTGGTGTGTTACAGATTCTTGTTAAAATCCTGTATGGTGCAGCAGCTGCTGAGTAGGTTTCAAAGGTTCATCTATTCAAGATATGACAAAACGACTTTGTCGCAGATTTACTCAAACCACCTCAAAAAGGAAAAGTAAGGTTAGTTATTTAATAAAAATGCAAACACAGTGTTTTACCTTCTCTATGTAAAATAAAGACTATTCTCTGTGAGCCTCCTATATGAGAAACACTAGGGGAGCATGTTAACAAAAGGAGCTCTGAAACCATTAGATGATGCTGAGAGACTGTAATGTTGCTTGGCTGCTCACTACTCCAAAGCTTTATAGCACAGTGAAATCATGTCATGACACTGAGTGGACATTTTCAGACCTAGTCTCCAAGAAGATCATAATGTTGCACTTGGCTACACACAAGTGTTGAAAATGTAACTAAAGCATACACGTATTCCACAACTTCTCTCTCAACGTTTGTGTTTAAATGTCACATTTTTGGTTTTGGACAGTTAAAGAACAGCCGCCCTTAATGTAGTGGAAAGGTGGACGAGGGCTGAGTTTCTCAGGCTGTCCATGGAGCACTTAAGGCACCATACACTAAGCCTCTTTAATATTGAAAACTATATTTGTAGCTTGGTGTTTTCAGCCAAATAAACTGGGGGATGAATAATTTTATAAGTGTGATTGATTATCAACCCTGGTGCTTTGCACTTCGAATGAAATGAGTAGTACAATGTTAATGTTGCTAAAATGATCACACTAAGAAATTGGAACTTTTATTAAAGTATCAGTGCTCAGTAAAGTTACGAGATGAAAAAAAAAAAGAACTTTGTCAGTGAATGGACTGTCAAGCCTGCAACTTTGAGCACCCTGTGCTTTATAGCATTTCATGTTGTAAAATTGATTCACACACCATTTTAGACACAGTTGTACTTCTGGCTTTTGACAGCTCTCTGCTCTTTGCATTATTGAAAGCGGCACGCTATTACAGCCAAGTAAAGCACCGGCATCCAGGCCCCGCTGTGGTTCCAAGGAGACTCTTTAACATTCATTTTTAACATCGATTCTAAATGAGATGGTCTCAAGAGTTTCACTTTCGCTTAGTCTGAATATGTGCTAGCACATCTAGACTGTAGCCTGTATCTGTTGTGTAAAAATATATATTTTAAAGTGTTCTGTCTGAATATTAATACAGTTTTACTAAATATGGAAATTGTGTTGAAGAATGAAATACTTTGCGTACTACCACTTTATTTTAGCCATGTGCGATGGATTCATACGGTATTTTTCTATTACCTGTTTAGACATTTCTGCAAACACTAAAAATGAAGACGCATCAACTAAACCTCTGGTCAAATGCAAATGTAACATAGGCAGCTGTCACTTGTTTCTTATACCGAGGCAGATTTCAGTGCTGTGTCATTCTGTTGTCTGCAGAGTGGATTGCCATCTGTGTTCAGCCCATCTGTGACCGACTCGTCCAACTCTACTGAGAATTTGTCCAAGGCGATGGTGCAAAGTCGATGGTAAGACATATGCAGACATGTGTAATGGCTCTCTGCACTTTGTGAGCCCAGCATAACTGCATTCATTCCACCTCAATCACCGCAACGTGCCTGCTTATTGAGCAGCATTCGTTGGGCACACAGACCAAATCAAAGCCATAAATCATGGCACCATTTCTGTGAGGAGAGGTGGGAACATACAAAAAGCCATTCTGTAGTCCTTATTGCTGAGCCCATGGAAATCGGAGCAGGCAGCTCTCCTACAACCAAGGGCATGTCCGAGAATGGCACCTTGTTCACTAGGTAGTGACCTGCCCAGTGTCCCATTTTCAAAATTACTGCAACACACTTGAAGTTCAGCTCCCCTGAAAATTCCCACAATGCAGTTTAAAAAAAAAAAAAAGAGTGGGGGGGGGGAGGTTACTAATGTTCATTAGTAGTTATGCAGTTTCCCTTGTTTTACTCCATCTGCAGCAGATTCTTCTCTTGTTAGGCCTTTCCCCCCACTTTCCTCTCTGTATCATCAGTAATGAATGATCCTAGTGGTGTTTGATTTATCTATTTTTAAAGTACAGTTAACTTGCTTCTAACCGTTCTGTCTTCTATCACATTTTTGGCATTTATTGGTATTTGATTTGTGAATTTGGTAGAGTAAAGACTGTTTTAATGAGCAGCAGTGATGCAAAATAGCAGCCTCTTTTCTAATTTTGAATAGCTAACCAGGTTTGAGGTTTGACTATATGCCAACAAAAAAAAAAAAGGTACTTGCACTGCAGCCCCCCCCTTTTTTTTTTTTTTTTTTTTTTTTTTTTTTTTTTAAACAATAGCGTACCATGATGTTTATCAGCGTTTGGTAAGGTGAAATCTTCATGCCCTGCCACTCCTTTGAAATTGTGAGTGTTCATTGATGCCAGTGTCTCAGTGTTCAGTGAATTAATGTCCAAAATCTTATTCACCACCTACTAACACACTGAGCGTTTTGAGAGACATCCCTGGTCTCATGATCTGCTAACCCTGATGTTTTACAGCATGTGGAGCTGTCTGACACATAATTTCCTTCACACCGCAGTATCCCCATCCTACTCATGTGATTAATACTGCTTTCAGTCTGACACCTGCTTCCCGATCCACTGGTCTGGTGATGTTTGATTTAGATATGAAAGGGTGAATACACATGTATATGGGTTACTACACGGCTTATGTTGGCGGAATAGTGTCTTCATTATCCTACATCAGAAACTTGGTCTGTTGCTAAAGGGAGAAAGGAAGTCAGTCGTGGTGAGTGGTGGAGATAGATTGTCAGTGTTCACAGCAGATCAGAGAGAGACTGTCGACAGAAGGAAAAACTCATGCAATGCATATGAGGCACATTGCAAAATACACTTTGGTTATTGGGTTCTGCTCTGGGTGTCAATTAACACACATCATAAAATATTAAATGATGTATTCATTGTATTTAACATCTCCTCCTCTCACCTGGCAAAGTGCCCATATGCACTGTTTGAGCATAATGGTTCAGTGAAGGACTTTTTCGCTTTGTATTCAGATATGTGTTCAATCTTTTTTCTACTTATTTGCATAGCAGAATCTCCCTCGCAGCAAGGACAGAATGGATCTCACTTTACTGAGTCATTTTGGAAATGATCCTGAACAATAAATAAGAGCAAATCATTTAAATTCAAATGCTGGCTTTGGAGATCTGTTGGGGTCTGGGAATGACAAAAGCCATCAGTGAAAGGACTGGCAGCTACTAAGGGAGGTGCTCTGTTGCACCAAAAGCAACCTGCCTGTTCAGTGGGGTTGCACACTTTTGAGAGCGCTAATAATTTGGGCAGGAAGAGGCTTAATGCATCACCACAAATCGTTTTGATTTCCTCACCTGGCTTTGCCTCCAAGAATAAGGTAAAATCACCTCTCCAGATGTTGTGACAAATCTGCATAATAACATTTCAAACTCAGTCCTTTCATTGATATCGAATTCCTAATTGAATATGATACAAAATTAGATGACTTTGTAGCCAGTTCAGATGTTTGAAGACTAAAATTACTCGCGGGTTTTTAAAAAACAGCAAAAATGCAAAATCTCTCTTCACTAGCCTTTTCAGGGATTTGGAATAAATATTAGAGGACAATATGAAATGTGCATTTGGAAGGCATGTACACTCTTTCCGATTTCAGATTTGTCTTTAAAAACGGTCTAATTTAATTTTCCCTGTTAATCAATCTACACATGATTCTGCACAATGTCAAAGCAAGAACTGTTCATGTGTTTTTATAATTTAAGAAATACTGAAAATATTTAATTAACAGGGTTATTCAGATCCTTTGGGCTTTGATTCATCCTCCTACCAGCAGTCCTTGAGATGCTTTTACAATTTAGAGTCCATTTGTGCCTGATTGTATTCATCGGACATGAAAGGTTTTTATGAAAGATCTCACATTTGATGGTTTAGGTCTTAAGTTTTAGGGCAAACTGGGATACAAGGTCAAAGTATACACTTAAACCTTGTGTAAAGGCACAGAACAGGCTATAACAAGCTGTAGTATTTATTATTCTCCAGTGGAAGAAGTTTAAAACCACTAGTTTGTCTTGGCCAACCAGGCAAGTGGGGTAATGTGGGACAAATGTGCTTGGTTAGACAAGCAGCTAGGAAGACGGTGGTTACAGTGAATGTTTCAGAGTTTGTGTGGAGACAACTGTCATTGCATCACTTCACCAATCAGTCCTTTATGGTAGAGATGGAGAACTTGGTCCTAACTGAAAGGAACGTAACAGCCTGTTGTGAGGTAAAATAC